ATGTGTTTTTTTTCTGAGGGGGTGGGGTGTGCAAAAAAATTAATCAAAATCTCTGGCACGACAAATTTCTTTTTTAGCACAAAAAATTGGTTATTAAAGCTTCCAATTTAATAAGTTAATGTCTAACTTACAGTTTTTTCTTTTTGTCGATAACTTGCAATCCTTTGCTGTAAATGCTTGAACTCTTTTAAATTTTCCCGTGTTGGAAATCGGTTCTTATTTCCGTTCGAAGCCACGTCGCCACTGTTGAGAGTTTTCCCGCGTGTGGGTGTATGAATCAAGACAAACACAGTAGTAGGGGAAAATACTGGTATATTTGTAAAATCAATTAACAATATAGTGATTAGTAAAACGAAGGTCGGTTAGTACGAAACAATATCCAAAGTCTATAGTCCACCGGTATGTAACCTTATCTGGACTGCTGACCCTCTACCTAGAGCTGACTTATATAAGAGGGACCAGTCCATTTCTAGTTAGAAGGTGGGTGCGCCCCAACACTTATACACATATTATACCTTTTTGGAATCAGGATGATATCTTATACATATACACATATTAGTTAAAAATTCAAATATTAAAATAACTGAAAAAATTAGTGGTTTTAAAAGTTTTTAATTTTTATTGAGTAAAAAGTAACGCAAAAACTTTGTGAATTTAAATTTTTGGTTTTAAATTCAGTTTAAAATATCTCACAACGTTTGTAAATTGAGGAAATCAATTTAATTTCTTCAAAATTCCAAAGAATCAGAGTTAAAATGAGAGGTTTCGTGTTGTGATGTTTTGAAGTTCCGCAGAGTTTGTGATTTGAAGAACTCAATTTTTGGCCTGAATTGAAATTTTGGCGTAAATAGGACTTTTGGCTCAAATCAGCCTTTTGGCCGGAATTGGTCTTATAGCCCGAAGCAGAGTTATTTATTTAGTTCCATGGAGTGAATTGAAGGATTCAAAATTATATCTTCAAAGTTATCATTGCTGTTTTTCATGTTTGATCAGAGGTCCCTTTAGTTTTAAAGCGGAGGACCAATTAGCCTCCCACTGGAGCTAGCTTAAGTCTGTAAGGAGTGCAGCTTTTAAGTTAGTTTAAAATAAATATATATATTATTATGTTAGAGTGAAAGAATTAATAAATCAGGGAAATATGTATAATTGGCCTATAATCTGTGTGGTTTACAATGCCTGTTTTATTGCTTTATCTCCAAGACCCTCAAGTCAGTTATCCTGCAAAAAAAGTTGACTGTGCAGATAATCTAGCCATGACTGCAGGCACCATTATCAATGTCACAGTTCAACTACAGCATCTAGAAAATGCTGCTAACGATGCTGGACTGAATACAAAACCTTCAACCAGCAAGGCTCAATACAAACTGTCTCGGCTGAATCATCAAAATCTGTCGACTCTTTTACGTACCTAGGATACGAAATAAATTCTACTGAAAAAGGATGTGAATATTTGTATAGCTAAAGTCTGGGCCGCCTTGAATAAAATGGATGTAATCTGGAAGTCTGATCTACCAGACAATCTCAAACAGGGATTCTTTAGCACAACTGTAGAGTCAGTTTAAATGTATGATGTCACTGCTTGGACATTAACTAAAACCCTAGATGGAACCTAAATTCAGATACCGAGAGCTATACGTAACATCTCTTGGAGACAACATCCAACTAAGTCACAGCTCTATCGACCCAACTCTGATATTTCTACAATCTCAATTTAGAACACTGCTGGTGAGCAAAACAAGAACCAGCAAGTAATCTACTGCTCTGGACACCTAGCCAAGGGGCAAGAAGGATTGGTCGCCCACCTCTATTATGACATAGAATACCTCCCTAATGACCTTCCTATCCTTATGCTGGACCGTGATAGTTGGCGTGATATCCTTATCAATGTTCGAGCTAACACGACGGAATAAAATTGTTCCGTTTACAGTTCATTTTAAGAATTTAACTTCAAAATGGAGATTCTTTTGTGTCACTGTAAAGGCGGCTTTAATGTATGGTGCCACTGATTGGACATTAAGTAAAATCCTTAAGTCTAAGCTTGATGGAACTTATACTCCGATGCACTAGAGATATAATTAGTATCTCCCGGAGAAAACAGTCAAGTAAATCACAGCTCTATGGACCCATCCCTGATATTTCTACAATCTTATACGAACGCAGAATACGATTTGCAGGTCACTCTGCTGGTCAGCAAAACAAAAACTTGCGAGTGATCAACTGCTCCGGGTACTTAGCCATGGCGTAAGAGAGATAATTCGTCCAGCAACCAACATTGACCAACTATATAATGAAATAGGATACCACACTAATGACCTTCCGACCTTGATACCGGACTGTGATGGCGTGATAGACTCATGAATTTCCGAACTAGCTCGACCGAATAATAATAATAATAAAAACAATTCCTATAAAAGATTTACAAATTTATACTTATAGCCTTGTACCAACCTAAACCAAATTTAGTAAAATTTCATAAGCGTAGGTATGTGGTTACCAGCGAGAGATCGAATTCACTACTCAGTCGTAATTGGTCTAGCGGGACAGCGTGCTAATCATTGCACCACGTCGAAGTGTCCAGACAATTTTAGTAAAGAGGAACACTTAAAAATTTATGTTTATATTATACTGAGATAATTTCTTGCTGTTACGTTTAAAACTGACAGCAGTAAATTTTAAGTATAACGTGAGTTATCTTAAATTGTTAAAACTTAAAGTAAAATTGAAACTTTCTGTTGTGGAGTAGCTGAACCCCTCCCCCAGAAGATGGACTAGTTTAAGACTAGGTACCTCCAAAAATTCGTATACCTTATGTATAACTAAGGTTTAAATGTATTTTCGAAAACAAATCGAAAAAAAAGAAAAAATCCTTTTTCAAAGCTTTTCTCCAGCTTCTAATTCCTTCATTTCTGTTCTTTTCTTCTTTCTTTTCTCAATGATGTTTTTTTTCCTTTTCTTTCACACTCAGTGACCCTCTTCTTGCGTCTTCGTGGCTTTATTGCCTTGCTTGGGATGAAATCATTAAAAAAAACAAACAATCAAAACACAAAAACTGACCAGAATTAAATGTAAAACTGGGGCTTTTTAATACCCTAAACGCTTAAGCGTAAATGATTTAGTCTTACGGCCACACCACGTTGAAACATCGGTTCCTGTACGATCATCCACGTTAAGCAACACCGAGCATGGTCAACACCTGGGTGACCGCTTGGAAGTACCAGGTGCTGTGAGCTTGGATGTGCGGGTGGTGTAATGAAAAATGGCTCGGAATTGTTAATCGGAGAGTCGAGTTCCAGTTTCTGTTGGGTTCGTTATAGACACTTACACGTAAAATACTCTTGGAAAACGAATAGATCCACTTCTCCCCAGCTATGGGTTAATTAGTAAGATTTGAATCGCTAAACCATTATTATCTAAAAAAAAAATCTTACCATCTAAAATTATTTTCTGTCTTTAAATAACCTGCAAATGGGTTGATAAGCCGTCGAAAACGAATCAATGAAATACTGATTAGCTACACAGGCATGTCTTAGATTAATTTACATTCTCTGGAATAAAAATGACAACAAATTGCTATGGCCACAAAGTGAGGGATCATTTCATATGTTGATTGTAATATAGAATTGATCCCCCAATTTGATGGGTGGGGCTTAAAGAAAGTGTTGAACTCAATATTTGGACTGATTTCCAATGCATCAGTAAAGATGACAAGGTATTGATAATTGATCTTTAGCCTTTAAATAAAGTCGGATTCAAAGATCCGGCTTAGAGCCATATCTCGTTCAAACACTGGTTTTTGTATGATCACCAAAGTTAAGCAACATTGAACCTGGTCAGTACCTAGCTAGGTGACCAATTGGGAATAGGTGCTGTAAGCTTGGGTGCGCAGGTGGTATAAAGAATAATGACACAGAATTGGAAATCAGAGAGACGAGTTCTAATTCCATTCAGGTTTATGATATTCCCCAGTGTGCAAATATCCTTGGGAAAGGGTATGACTCCACCTCTTTTCCTCCACCAGCTATGGGTTAATTAGTAGAACTTGTATCAGTAAATCATTTTTATCATCTAAAAAATTCTTACAATCTAAAAATATTTTCTGGCTCTAAATAACTTGCAAAGGGTTGATAAGCCGTAGAAAACAAATCAATCAATTATTGAAATACTGATTAGCTATACAGGTATGTATTTTAGATTTATTTACATTCTCTGGGATATAAATGTCGACAAATTGCCATGGTTACAAAGTGAAGGATCAGTTTATATGTTGATTGTAATATAGAATTGACCCCCCACTTTACTTCCACAATCTAATTTCTTGTTTATCAAATTCTGATTAGGCATGAATCTACCTCTTTTCCTCCAAGTAAGACTTTATTCACTAAATCATTATTATCTCAAAGAAAGAACTCTTATAACCTAAAAATATTTTATTGTTTTGTTTGTTTTGTTTTACGGTATATCAACCTCAATGGGTTATTTAATGCCGACGAGATTTTTATTGCTGGTAAGATTTTTTCCAAAAATTGCTAGTAATATTTTTTTTTTTTTTTGGTAATAATTTTTTCTTCAAAAATTCATTGCTTGTAATATTTTTTTTACAAAAACGTATTGCTGGTACTAAAACCTATTTTTACACTTTCATAGTGTTTTGACCCCTTTTTTGTTTGGGGGGGGGTAACTATAGTTGGGACCCTGATAGGTGCTACCATCCTAGGTCAGGGTGGACCTGGGAATAACAATTCAGAGGCCTTGCTGTTGGATGTAGTTTATTGTCTTATCCAGAACAGAATATTTTCGGGCTTTAAATAACCCGCAAAGGGTTGATAAGCCGTAAAAAGGATCAATCAAATCAAATTAAGTAAATGGTTTAAATATTTCTCGAAATTTATGAATAAACTCTTTCTTTATTTTTATTGATTTTTATGTTTTGTTTTGTTTACTTTACAAATTTAACCTCTATTAGGGGTCACCGAAAATATATTTCTCCGATTTTTTTTCAGCACCTATAAAAACACTTGTAAATCAGAAAAGCAAATAAACGATACAATCTGGGAAAGTGATATGAACACTGTTTTCACTCAAGTAATGGAAGCTTTCAACGCAGCTGTTGTTAATCCTGGATGTCCGGTACCTGCACAGAAGATCAAGCTGGTTAAAATCCCTTTGACACTGCCCAATAAAATATATTATTGGATCTTGTTCAGAAAAGTAAGTATTTGAAAATCTTTACATTTTACGCTTTTACCCAGTGAGCTCGCAAGCGGGTATTTGGTATTTTGGGAACATTTTCCAAATGATATGTGCTGTATCAGGACTTAAAGCAGACAGTCTTAGAATTTCAGAACTGGTCTAACATTGGTCGAACTGCAAGTATTTATCAAGTTATGATTGAAAAAATCTGCACTGTTATTGTCACTGACCTGGCATCTCGGCTTCAGTCACTTTTCTACTGCCGTAACATAGCTTCTTTGTGCTTTTTTTAAATAAATATTTTCATATTAATTCTGCTGAGGAACTTTCCGCTATGGTAGCTAGATTTTATGAGTTTAAGCGCAGTACTAGGTTGGCGGTAAGTTCTCATCATTTTACAGTTGGAATGGTTAGATGCAACCGTAAGTTTTATGTTAAAATTTCTTCTATCGCACCTCTCGCTTGTGGAACTCTCTTCCAACTTTTTGCCTCCCAGTTAATTTTCATCTGTAAAAACAGGACCCCCGTTTCTAAAATGTTGCATCTTAAAGTTCTAATGATTTTTAATATGCTTCTTCTACCTGCTGTGTCCCATCAGGACATTGGTGATCATGGCTCTCCACAATTTCCTGTCCTTTGTAGCTGAAGAAATCTTCTCTTTTTCTTATCATTCCTTGTTCCGCCATCCATTTACTCAACCTAGCAAGGTGGGTTATGCGTTGTTTTCCTCTGTCCCTCTTGCCTTCAATCTGTCCTGTGAGTATCAATTTTCTAAGCCTACTTTTCTTATTATGTAACCTAGAAATTTGAATTGTTTCTTCGTGATGTTAAGTATCAGGATCCATTTTGTTTATATTTTTCTAAAACTTTGTCGTTGCTAACATTTTCGGTGCATGGTATTCTCAATATCCTTCTGTAGATCCACATTTCTGTTGCCTCAAGTTTCTTCATCTGTGAAGAGATTTCCAGGATTCACTACCAATATAGGAGTACAGATATTATGCATCTATTCAGTACTCGTTTCTTTGTTTCTAACGACTTTTTTGTTTCTTAATACCGTGCTTAGCTTTTGGAAGGCATCTTTCACAATTTCAAGAAAACTTCGGATATCAGTATCACACATTCCATCCTCTGTTAAAACACTTCTCAGATATCTAAATTGTTGTAACTGTTTAATTTTGGCGTCTCCATTTTATAATTTTCTTGTTGTGCTGTTCCTTTTGCTAACAACCATGAATTCTTTATTCTTACAATCGATGTTTAGTCCTTTCTTCTCGCTTTCCTCCACTACCTCCCGTAGGAGTTCGTATAGTTTCTTTTCTGTGTTTGCTAACAACACTGTGTTACTTGCATATCTAATGTTGTTCAGATTGTGGTCGCCAATAATGAATCCTGGTAGGAATTCTGATTCTCTCAGTATTGCTTCACTGTATAGGTCGAATAAGTCCGGTGAGACGACTCATCCTTGTCTTACACCTCTTTCTATTTCTGTATATTTACTGAAATCATTTTCGATCTGTAATTAGTCGGTTTGCTGCCAGTACAGGTTTTTAGATTAATCTAATATCCTTCTCAAATATGGCAAGGTTAGCTATTCTTTGTGACGTATTTTGTCAAACACTTATGCATAATATATAAAACACAGCTACATACCCATAAATTATTTCCTATAAATTATAGGATACATACCCATAAATTATTTCCGTCATTTTTTACGAGTGGAACACTGTACGTAAGTAGTCCCTAAAATATATATTAATGACTGAATAATAATGCTATGAATTTATATGAATAAAATATTTGATTAAAAACACATATGGTGGAGAAATCGGAGAGCCGAGTTCGAATTCCAGTCAAATCCATTACATTCACTTATGTGCTGATACCCTTCTTCTCCGTCCAGCTATGAGTAAATAGCAGAACAGACCGGGCTCTATAGCGTTGGATGGTAGAAAGGAATGGTAACCTACTGCGGAAAAAAATCTGCCTCGTCAGTCGTGTATTACGCATGGCACATAACTGATTGACTGACTAGAAACGTTTGCATCGGCTTAATCTAACGGACGACACAATGAAGCTGAAACATAGCCAAATGATGAATGGACGATAAATAAACCCGGTGCGTAATACCTCTGAGACCCCCTCCCGATTTCGGGGTGCAAGTTTGATCAGAGGCCCCACGCAGTGCTTTGTAACCCTCGCTGTCTTAATAACATTTGCCTTTTTTCTATCTACATTTTTTGTAGGTTATAAATTAAACTATGCACAGCTGATTATTAAAAGATGACAAATTTTCGCAGATTTTGACGTCATTCTGGGGTCGTTGTTTGTTTTTTTCGACCAAATCCGTAAATTTCTTTTGCTCATGTTAAAAACAAAAAGTTGTAATATGAGCTCTGGTAAAAACATGATATGATAACAGCAAAAAAATTGCAATATGAGCACTGGTAAAAATGGTTACTGAAGACATTAGGTTTATAATACCCAGAAATTCATACCCAGATGTCCTCAAGGACACATGGCACAGCGGATAAAGGCATTGGTTAGATCTAATGACAGGACCCAAAGAGTGTGAGTTAAGGCAGTGGAGAACTTATCCCTAATGTTGAGAACTTTCAGAGGGAAATTAACAGGAGATAACTGATAACTGACATCCATTAAACATGGCACGTAGAACTAGAACAGTCTACCCCAGTGAGCGAAATAAAGGGTTCACTTCGACATTCCAACCACCGGCCGAAATGTTGTAATAAAAATGGCGACAAAGATGAGGACGATAGTCCGAATAATGTACATCATACCTCATTTCAGAAATATAGACAGATACTGAAGGGCCGAAACGTTGTGATAAATATGCCGACAAAGATGAGGACAATAGTCCGAATAATGTACATCATACCTCATCTCAGAAACATAGACAGATACTGCTCATGTTAAGTATTGAAAAAACACTATATAAGATTTACTATATTTTATCCCTAATGTTGAATGAGTTAAAACTATTCAACATTTTAAGAAGTACAATTTCAAGCTGATGTCAAAACTTGCAACAATATATTATCGATTTATTTAAGATGGAATGATCTATTATGGCATGTCTCTAATTTGTATCTAGATACATTGTTATTTTCAATTTTTCTAGTTGGATTGTTCATCTATATTGCATATGATCCATTATTGTACATAATTAGATTACAAAAAATTTGTATTTTATATGAATATTACTTTATGGAAATTGAGATGTAGCTGAGTGAGGGGGGTGGCGTATCATAGATTTGGTAGGAGGCACAAAACCCTGGCACCGGACTTGATTTCACCATATAGCAAATAAACACTTTCTATATCATTGGTCGTGTCTTGATCTGCAGAAGAATGGCTTCTACCAGGTACCCATAGCAGGAATGAAGACCTCTCTGATTTTCGACCCAGATTTGATGAGTGGCAGGTGCTCGGTTGCGCTGTGACTGTACGACCACGCCCAGTCACGTCTAAAAAGATTAAAAAAAAAAGATTTTACAACTGTTTTTTAAGCTTTTGATAGTGACGCTATCCTAAGGGTACTGGAGGTTCTATCGGGATTTATTATCGGTGGGCGTAATCTTAAGATACGCAGATGACACTGTGTTGCTGGCCGACCCTGAAAGAAAATTTTAGGAGCTTCTAGACAGGGTGGTAGAAGAAAGCGAGAAAAAAGGACTAACTATCCATTGCAAGAAGACAAAGTATGGTTTAATGAGCAAGAGAAAAAGCTTAAGATACGAGTAACGAATTGGAGATGTCAGCACCAAGCAGGTGCAGAAAGTTCAAATATCAGAGGAGCGTCTAACAGTGGATGGAAAATGTGACACCGAAATCCGAAGTACGCATTGGACGAGAGGCATTCCAAATGCTAAGCAAAGTGCTGAAAAAAAATTCCTTAGAAACAAAGAAAAGAATGTTGGTTGGCTATCTGTTATCCATTGTCTCATATGACGGCAAATGCTGGACAGGATGAGGAGGAACTGCAGTCAATAGAAATGTGGTTCTACAGAAGGATACTGAGAATTCTATGGACGGAGTAAGTAAGCAACAAAGAAGTCTTAAAGAAAACGGCAACAAAAAGTACACTTCTACTCAGGAACAAAAAGAGCCAGCTGAAATTCCTTGGGCACATAATGAGGAATGAGGGCTTGGAAAATTTAACACTCACAGGGCATATTGAAGGTAAGAAAGATAGGGGAAACAACAAACCATGTACCTGAGGAGCTTGTGTGAATGGATGATGGAACGGTACCGGAGCCTTAGCAAAGGAAAAAGAACTTTTAAGAGCTTCAAGGAATAGGAAGTTGTGGAGAGTCATATTCGCGTATATTCTGAAAGGAAGAAAAAGTGATAGAATCAAAAGCTAACGTTTTTTTATGTAATAAGCTATAATACTCTTTTTCTCTTGTTTCAAAATGTCCCTGTAATAAATTTCCAAATATTCTTGGCGGTTTCCAGCGGCCGAACTCCCCATCTACCATTAACTCTTCAGAACTTGTGCCGTTCATAGCTCTCCACAGCCTTCTGTGTAGTGTTACTTTCAACAATACTTGCTCCTTTACAATCGCTGTTTGTCTTTGCGCCACTTGCTCCACCATCTATTTGCTAAAACTTGTCAATAGTTTATATATATTTCCTTTAATCACGGCCCTCCACAGCTTCTAGTCTTTTGTTACTTTTAACAATATTTGTTCCATTTACTATCTCTCTTTGTGGTACTTGTTCTTCCATGCATTTGCTCAAACTTAAGTAGGTTATATATATTTCATTCTAATCATGGTCCTCCACAGCTTCCTGTCATTTGTCACTTTCAACACTTTCCAATGCAATTCCTCTTTCTAGTAGTTGTACTTCTATGCATTTACTCAAACTTGTTAAATATATTTCTTTCTGCCTTCTCCCAAATCACGGTCCTCCACGACTTCCCTTCTTTTGTTGCTTTCAGTAATACGACCCCTCTTTGTATTTGTGCTACTTGCTCCTCCATCCATTTGCTGTCACTTTTCAAGCAGGTTACTTCCTGTTTTCTCTTTAATCACGATCCTCCATGACTTCCTCACTCCTGTTGCTTTCAATTATATGACTTCTTTTTGTCTTTGTGCCACTTGCTTTGTAGGTTACTTGCTGTTTTCTCTCTAATCTCTCCACAGCTTCCTGTTTTGTTTTCTTTTATTATTTTCAGCAACGCTTTTCTCTTTACGATTGTAATTTTTTGATTTACTTGTAACCTACAAAGATCGTTGAAAAATCAAATTTTGTTTTCTTATTTTTCAGGGAAATTATAAAATACGACTCGAGGCAAAAGACAGAGAAGACGGTAAAATAATATTATGCCTCGACTGGGAAATGACCATTGGAAATTTGCAACGATATTTCACCCGCGAGTGATATGCCATCCACAGACAAAAATGATAAAGGCAAAAGAAAAAAAATGTTTTTAAATAAAATTAATGTTTCGTAGATTTAATAATTGGACCAAAGGATGTATTCGGGTCGAAGTTAAGGAAAATATTAAAATTATTATTAAATAGCGGCTCGGATTGCGGAATCGGAGAGCCGAGTTCGAATTCCAGTCGAATCAGTTATAACTGACTGATAGAAAATCTGAAAATCATTCTATCTTTTATTTTAACAAAATCATTGTCTTGTTTCTTAACGCAACCTTCACATACCAGAATCTTTTGAAATGCACCCGGAGAATTTTAAGAACTTAGGACTTTAAGAATAAATCTAAAGAGACAAATTCTGTCTGTTTATGTGAGAATCTTTAAGAAATAAATCTTTTTTTTCAATAAACATTTGCAATTTGTCTTTTTTTAAATTAAAATTGAACTATTTCTTCTTTTCTCTTGTTTCATTTTTTACGCTAAATAGTATTAGATTTAATAGCATTTGTATTACTAAATTTTTAACTAGTATTTCTTTCATCTTATTGAGTTAATAGCTAAGACCCCGGCAAAATTTTATTTCTGATTCCCTCTGTTTAATTACGCTTGGAGAATAACGATCTCATAGTTGCAATAAAAACATAAAAAGAAGAAAAAACAACAATATGGCGTCTTCAAGAGTGTTTCAAATCTCTTTATCAAAAATTTCCCTTATGCGCCTTTCCTCTCTTTCTGTTGTTGCTTTCAGTAATATGATTTCTCTTTGTCTTTGAGTTACTTGCCTCTACATCCGTTTGCTGTCACTTGTGTAAGCAGGTTACTTCCTGTTTTTATCTAATCACGGCCCTCCACGACTTCATCTCTTTTGCTTTCAGTAATAAAACCTCTCTTTGTTTTGTGCTACTTGCTCATTCCATTCATTTGCTGTCACTTGTCAAGCGGGTTACTTCCTGTTTTCTCTTTAATCACGGTTCTCCACGACTTCCTTCTTTTGTTGCTTTCCGTAATATGATCTCTCTTTGTCTTTGTGCTACTTGCTCATCCATTCATTTGCTGTCACTTGCTACTTTATCTCTAATCACGGTCCTCCACAGCGTTTCCTCTTTTATCCCTTTCAGCAATACTTTTCACTTTACGATTTCTATTTTTGTGTTTTGTCTTATGTACCTACAAGACTGTTGGAAAAACAGTCTTTGTTTTTTATTTTTAGGGCGACTCTATCAAGGAAGATTAACAGCTCTTTGAGATACAAATCAGTTTCCTCTTAGAAAACCACAGACCACAAAAAACTAATCTTTCTTAGCAACAAAAGAATTTCAACAACAGTTTATATAAATCTATTTTTTAGCAACTAAAGAAACGTACTTTGAAAAATTCACAATTTAACATGTCGTAGGTTCAAAGGTTGAAAGTCGAAGAGGATGAAAAAGAGTTGACCTACCTCGGCGAAGGCAGTTTTCTGGGGTCTTTTAGACAAAAAGATAATCATGGTTTGCGGAAGAGACATTCTCAAATATGAGATAAATTCTTGCAGACGTTCTTACTAAAGAAAATCCACGTACATTTTTAATAGTTCTTCTTCAATAGTAGTATTAGTAGTATCAGTTTTTTATCATGTCACACATTTTCTCGCTCGAGTGGTTGAATTCATACCGGTTCCAAATCAGAACTTTCTAACTCGAAGTGACACTTTCCTTTCTGCTTCTGGAGTAGCAGACTTCACATGCCTGCAACAGCCAGTCCCTTCTGCCTTCGCAGTGGAAATTTATCTCTTATATAGCAAAAAGTGTCTCCATACATATCAAAATCAAAGCTCTTAGGGTGCGTATACTTTTTATTGTCATTGGCTAAAAAATCAATAATCACTATCCAATCAAAACGCGTCCGTTTTCAATTTAAACTTGACTGGTTTAACATCATAAAGCCGTGCATCAAATCTTTGCCACATAATGTTTTAACAGTCTGGTTTCATTTTTACGGGGTTTTATAACATCAGTTTAGGGCCTTTTTCTTTTTTTTTCTTCAAATCTTTATACGTATTATTCATTTTTTTTCATAAACCGTCTGGCTTCATTTTAGCGGTTTCTTTTCCAAAGAACAATTTAACTGTAAAAGTTGGAAATAAATACAATGTATCTAAATACGAATAACAGATCATTTCATCTTAAAGAAACCAACAATGTTTTGTAGCAATTTTTAACGTCAATTTTTAAGGTCAATCTTTAACGTCAATTTTTAACGTCAGTTTTTAAGGTCAATCTTTAACGTCAATTTTTAACGTCAATTTTTAAGGTCAATCTTTAACGTCAATTTTTAAGGTCAATCTTTAACGTCAGTTTTTAACGACAGCTCGTTTGGTAGGTTATGCGTTGTTTTCCCCTGTCCCTCTTGCCTTCAATCCGTCCTGTGAGTATCATATTTTCTAAGCCCTCTTTCCTCATTATGCGGCCTAGAAATTTCAGCTGACTTTTCCTGATGTTAAGTATAAGTGTCCTTATAATTGTCTCTAAAACTTTGTCGTTGTTCACATGTTCAGTCTATGGTACTCTCAGCATCCTTCTGTAAGCCCACATTTCTGTTGCTTCGCCTCTTCTTTATCTGCAAGGAAATTGTCCGGCACACACTGAAAACTGATATTACGTAACAGTTCAGAACTCTTTTCTTTGTTTCGAACAAACATTTTCCTGTTTCTTAATACTTTGCTTAACATTTGAAAGGCAGCTTTCGCTATTCCAATGACCCTTCAGATTTCAGTGTCACGCTTTCCGTCCTCTGTTAAAACACCCACCAGATATTTAAATGTCTGTACTTGTTTGACTTTGCTATTTCCAATTTGTAATTTGCATGTTAGGCTGTTCTTTTTGCGAGCAACCATACATTCTGTCTTCTTATAGTTGATGTTTAGTCCTTTTTTCTCGCTTTCCCTCACTACATTCTGTAGGAGTTCTTATATTATGCTGTTAAGATTGTGGTCACCAATAATGAATCCTGGTAGGACTTCTAATTCTCTCAGAATCACTTCACTGTATAATAGATTGAATAAGTCTGGAAAGAAGACTCATCCTTGTCTTATGCCCCTTTCTATTTTTGTGTATTTAATGAATCCATTTTCTATCCTCATGCAGGTGGTTTGCCGCCAGTATAAGTTCTGGATTATTATAATATCCTTCCCAGATATGTCAAACTGACCTCTAAATCTTTTGAAAGTTCTTATCTTCATCAACAATCTTAATTATGTCATTAGTTCCAACTCAAAATTTATGTCGACTCCATTACGTCTTTACTCCTGTCTTAATAGTAACTCCATTCGGTCCGATAAAATAAAACTGGCAGCTGACCTTGAAGATGATCTTCAATGACTTGTTAACTGGAACAAGAAAAGGCTTGTAAATTTGAACACTTCCAAACGAGGCTGATGCCATTTAGTCACATTCGAGAGCCCGTTTTACCTTCTGTCAGCATGGCTAATGCTAACCTACCACTAATTATGTCATCACGTTCTCACGGTTTCCATGTTTTTGATATAAAATATAGAATGATTATATTGAATCAATTACTAGGAATTATGATTCAATGTCTTGTGCCAGACAAGCGGAATCCATTTTGTAGATTTATAAATCTACCAATCAACCATGCATATTGCTGCCACACATGGTCTGGGGGTACGTGCTATATATATTGAGATTAGTGACAAAATCCAAAGAATGATCTGTAATGTTATCAGCCCTGATGTGGCACCGCGTATTCATGCGTCTTAACATGTTCATATCTATCTATCTATCTATCTATCTATCCATCTATCTATGTATAATAAGGAACAGAACTAAAGAAGTATCTTGA